ATTTGGTCTTGTTGAAGGTGGGTATGCGCTCAGCCTTGCTGAAGGCGTTGACTTAAACGATCTTGCGCTTTTCAGGCAAAGAGGCGCAAGCCAAGTGCAGGGCAATGACAAAGGGCGTTTTTGGAGTAGAAGATGTAGTCTTCTTCTACGCTGGGGGGTTTGTTGTTGTTGGCAGTGGCAAGACCAGTGTGGTTCTTAAGCTTGCAGAAGGCGATGTTCAGAGATCCCATCAGAAATTGGAAGGGACTAGTATGTACATAGTGGAGGGCGTGGGTCAAGGTTGAACTTCAGCATCTTTGTGGTAAAAACAACCCTCCCAGGTATCTGGGAGCAGCATCTATGTAGACCCTGTGAAGGAGGGTGAAGGAGGTGAACAATACACATAGCTCTTTGGGCTGAGGTCAAAAGTCCAAATGTTTACACCTTACAACATTTGATGCCGTTGATTGGGTTTTTCAGAAAAAACTTTTTAGCAAACACCCAGATGTATACATAGATAGGGAGCTACCTGGGGGGCGTTGTTCCTGTGGTACAGATCTCCAATTCAAGCTGTAAGCCGTGCCAACATAGATACCGCCACCTAGACATTGACATGCCTAAGAAGATGGCGTCTAAGGCGACGGTGGAGGGACTTGACACAGACAATCTCCGAGGAGAATCTCTGCCCTGTGAGCCGTTGGCAGTGGCGAAGCATCTGGCGATACATGTCCCCAAGTAGGGGTCAACAAAGGGAGCAGGCGAGACTGAGCTACTCCGCGTCATCCATGTTGATATCAATGGGCCCATGGAAGTTGCATCCCTCGGAGAATCAAATAACATGATCGTCTTCATCCATGACCGCCGTCCCAGGATCAAGATGAAGAAGAGCCAAGCGCTACCGGCGCTGTGGGACTTTATCATTCAGGCAGAGCATCAGGCAAGACACAAGGTCTGCATCGTTCGCGCTTACAACACCGATGAAATCCTATCAGCAGGTCGGCGGGTGTGCTGAAGACGCTATGGATTTTCCAGCAGCTCACGGTCCGCTACTCACAGTTCCATAATCAGTTTGTGGAGAGCAGCATCTTCACGATCGTGGAGATGGCACACGCGATGCTGTTGTCAGGGATATGGAGAGGCGTTTTTGGGCAGTGGCAACCTTGATCGCGGCCTACCTCTGGAACTGCGGCCCAAAGTGAGTCCTTGGGTCTTCTGAGCAGACGCCAGAGGAGTTGTATCCTGGAAGGAATCCTAACATTGAGCAGCTGCGCGTATTCAGAAGACAGGCAACGCGCTTTTCCTGCTGAATAAGCACCAAAAGTACGAAGACCACACGTAGAATGGCCATGTTCTTGGATACGCGGCGAAAGAAAGGTCTGGGTGCCAGAGCTGAGACAGGTGATCAACAGCCAGAGCGTGCCATTAAACAAGAAGTGAACGCTCCGCATCAAGCCTTGGATGCCAACCACCCCTCCTTCCCGACTTTGTGGATTGCGGTGTCAGGGGGAGCAGGCTCGATGATAGGATATTGAGGGTGTGGACTTGATGACAGGACTTGGGGAGGGGGGTCGCCTTAAGCAACAGGAGCCAGGGAGAGGAGAGAAGCTGGAGGGGACTAGACAGGAAGGGGATTTGGAGGCAGGACTAGATTGTATCGGCCAGGACTGGTGTTCATCAGAATGGTATAAAATAGGAGGAATACATGGGCGTATATATAGGGGAAGATTCGGGCCGTGCTGGAAGTTGGGGCCGTGGTGGGGTTTAGGGAGGTGCTGGGCTTGGTGACAGGCTTTGGCATGGCAGTCACAAGGAAGTGGCCCAGGCTGCTGCAGTAGTGGCAGAGGGTTTCACGACATTGGCATTCCTTCTCTTGTTCCATGAGTCTTTTTAAGTTCATGGTGACGACTTGCATTTGATCATCCTGATAGCTGGTGCGTGGTGGCTTTGAGTCAGTTGTGGTTGGCTACTGTGGTTGGGTGGGACGGGTTTCTCTTGGCGTTGCTCGCAGTGGCGGTTATTACATGGACTGGCTTGCGGTATGGTCAGCAATGCCAAATGTTGAAGATTTTTTTGGAGGAACTTTAAGTAGGGGGGAATGGGACACGGAGAAGCCGTGCCAACCAAGCCAGGGCTGCCCCATCAAGTGAGGGGGCCTTCTCGTCTGATTGGGCGGAATTGTTTGGGTAACTTTGAGGTTGAAGTAGGGGGATGGGTCTCAATTGGTTGAAAAAGTTGAGGAACTAAGATCAGGTACCATCAAACTTCTCTGGGAGGACTGTCCTTGAAGGTATCCTCGTGCCATGGCTTAGGATCATCACCTGTACTGTGGCTCTGGGTCAGGACTTGTACCATGGCTTTGGATCACGACCTGTACCATGGCTCTGTGTCATGACATTTATCAAGGTTCTGGGTCTGGACAGCTCGTAGAGCCCCTTCTTGAGCCTTGCGACCTTCCCCTGGGCGTCAGGCCCAAATGCCTCATAGACGTAAGGATGTAGTTCCAAGAAGACCTCCTTCTTGAGATCTGAGTTAAGATATGTGGTCTTAACATCCATCTGGTGCATCTGACAGTCCTCCTTTGCCGCCTCTACCAGGAGATTGGCTACAAAGGCGTAGATCTCGATGAAGGTAGCCCTCGCGCTGGCTGTAGCCCTTCCCTATAAGCCGCGCCTTGTGCCGAGGGATCTCACCCTCCGCATCATGTTTGATTTTGTAGATAAACCAGCTGCTGATGACTTTGTGCCCCAGGGGTAGCGCGACGACCTCCAATAAGTCGTTATTGAGTGACGCCATCTACTTGTCCGTCACGGTATCCCAGAGCTCACAATCAGGCCCAGCACGAGCCCGAAGCGCTGTCAGAAGCTGCGACTCCGGGTCATGCGCTACTTCCGCCCAGATCGAAAATCTTGGAAAATCTTGTCTGCCACACTCGTGATCTGCACATCGTCAAGGTACACGTCCATCTCACTCGCGACCCACCTCGCCATGGGCGGCTGGCAGTTGCCACAGTTGGCGCCAAGCATCTTCTCTGACGTGTTGGCCTACAGGTCCCCGGCGGACGCGTGTCTGGTCAGATTAGGAGTGGTCTCGTGGCTCTTGGTTTCCCTGTTTGGGGGTTCCCTACTATTCCTGACGTGCTCTGCAACCCACGACTTGTTCTCCTTGCGCTCCTCCCAGCGGGAGTGTTTGTTGGCATCCACAGGCTTGGTGCGAAGCACACAGTTCACGTTGAAGCACACCCTTTGGCTGTGGATCACCTCCCTCAGCTCTGGCACCCAAACACAATAACACTTCACATTTGCCTCCTACCTGACAAGAAAGCCCTTTTACTCGTGGATAAGCACGTACGCATTGCATCTGAATGTTCAAGCAGCCTAATGTGCAGCCTGCTTGCCGTTGGGTTTCCTTCCAGTGTACAGCTCCTCTGGCGATTGCTCAGATGACCCCATGGCCCTCGGGCTATGGTTTCGGATAAAGACAGCTGTCAAGATCGCCTCTGCCCAGATGCGCTTCTCCATCGGCCCACCACAGCATCGCATGTGCCATCTCTATGAGCATCCTGATGCTGCCCTCGTTGACCCCTTTTTGTAACCGCTTGTAGAGAAAATGAGCTACAGCGCAATCTTAGCCTCGTCAGCTCAAACCCCTACATTTTTGATCAGAGCTGGCTGGTGTTGTCGGTGCGAACAATGCAACCTTGTGCACTGCGTCTGTTGCTTGACCTGGATAATGTAGACCTTCAGCGCCTGTAGCGCATAACTCTTCTGCAACAGGAACATCACGACCATCAACAGAGGCAATGAAGTATCTTGATCCTCCGTGGGATGAGACTTCCATCAGCCCAGCACTGTCCACGTGGATGATGCTGAGTAGCACAGAGACACCTGCTCTCTCCTTTTTCCTCTACTTGTGGATGTCTGTGGCCAGAAGATTCACCATCAAGCATGAATCGCAGCGCGGTGATTGGCCACATAGCATATCTGAGTCAAGTGTTGAAATTTGGATGCCACCTGTTAAGAGGAATCAATACAATTCAGATGATCGAATTTGGTTTGACGTAGCAAGAGGGGCAAATGAAAAGCTGAGGTGTTGCCTGATAGGCGTGTCAGACTGGAAATTGATCAGATCGGATCAGATCAGGTGGAATCAGTTCGGGTCGGAAAATATTCCCAACAGACTGTGCTTTGTACATACATAGTGGCCCGCGAGGGACAAGGGTGAACGTTAGCGTCTTTGTGCTGCAGTCAACCGTCCAAGGTATTTGGAAGGAGCATCTGTGTAGACCCTGTGAAGGAGGGCGAAGGAGCCGAACGATACATACAGCATCTTTGTGCTGCAGTCAACTGTCCTAGCGTTTGTTTACACCTTGCAACATCTAGCCCCTCCAAGATCACCTTAGAGGCCAGCCTCTTGGGTTCTTCAATGTTCCGGTGGCCGTATCTTTGGTGCCTCAATCAATGCTTGGTGCAGCACTCCTTCCTGCCGCCAATGCTGAGTCCTCTGGTCCATTGAGGGCATCGAAGATGAATAGTCCTTCTTGAAGTGTTGCGGTGACCCTGAGTCTTCGGCAAGGACAGATGGACTGCCCTTACATGGATGGAGCGGACAGAGAGGAGGTTACTGAACAGTCCAGGGACTCGCAGCACCTCCTTCACTCAGTTTACACAGATGCTCCTTCCAAATACCTGTACGTTAGACTTAAGCATAAAGACGTTGGACTTAAGCATAAAGACCCTCAAGTCCAGCCTCACCCGCCACATGCGCTATGTTCGTTCAAAGCCGAGCCTGTGGGGATGATGGATGCACCTGCGGGATAAGCATAGACGTGACATTCGTGAAGGGGACTGGAGTCTGGGCATCCCGCCAGTGAGAGTGATGCAGGCACGTCTAGTGCGCGTTGGAGTGAGGTCATGGCTCTTGTGTCCCCTTCTTCAGGGTGTTGGGAACTGCCAGTTCATAAGGTCCCGATCTTCTTTTAGACCCTCGAAGCATGCTTATGTTTAGGTATGTGGGTGCTCAAAAGGATTGACCGGGATTTGAACTTAGGACCTTTTGATTGCCTCTACAGATGCTCTTCCACTGAACTACCAGTCCCTAGATGTAGTTGGTCTGCTTCCGTCTTGGACTCCCCTCGACCACAGCGCCCTTCCGGCGTGCCTGACCGTAGCAGAGGGTATTCCTTGGAGAGCTATCATCGTTTAGCTCCAACACTCCCCCATCAAGGGAGAACCATCTGCATGTCACCTGTGGTGCTACCATGATGTGAACTGACAACTCACTAGATGCCAATCCTCTTCCAGACCGTCATAGCATGCTTACATTGGGGTATTAGGCTGCTAAAATAGATTGTGCAGGATTCGAACCCGGAACACTCTGACTGCCAGTACAGATGCTCTTCCACTGAGCTACCAATCAGTAGAAGTGGACGGTGTGCTTCCAGCTTGGACTCACCCCTACCTCAGCGACCTTCCTGCGTGCCTGAGCACAGAGGTTTTTCCTTGGAGAGCTATCATCCATTAGCTCTGACACTCCCCCTGTAAGGGAGAAGCCTCTGCATGTCACATGTGGTGCTACCATATTGGAAACTGTCAACTCACGAGGTGCCAATCCTCTCTCAAACTGTGAAAGCACACTTATGTTTGGGTGTTTTGCCGCTAATTGAACCTGGGACCTTCTGATTGCTGTACAGATGTTCACTCACTGATCTACCAGTCCAAAGAGGTGGTTGGTCTCCTTCTCAGGCTCCACCTAACCACAGCGCCCTTCCGCTGAGCTTGTGTATCACAGAGGTTATTCCTAGGATGAGTATAATCCATAAGCTCCAAAAGAGGGGTCCCTGATGCAACCCATAACTGGTTGTGCTTGGGCTTGACCCAGAAGGAGTGTTCGTTGGGGTCCCAATGCTTGAAGCGTTGCACGTGGTTCTCTTGGAAGCAGACACTCCCTCTGTGGTTCACCTGTGTCAGCTTCGGCACTCAGACGCGGTCACCCTTCATCTGCGCTGCATACCAAAGAAGGAAGCCCTTGTATATGTGGTCGTCGAACATGTTGCGCCTTTCCGACAGGATAAGCGCATGCAACAAACATCCAAATATGTGCAGGTGCTCAACATTTGGTTTCCTTCCAAATCAGCCCAATGAGAGGGTTGGTAGGCACTTGAGATCACCGAATTAGGTTGGCATAGCAGGGGGGCGAGACGAAAGCTGTGAGTCTGCGTGGTAGGCAGGTCAGATTTGGTGATCGATTTCTGAGTTTGAAATCGATTAGATCGGATCAGATCCGGTGGAACCTAACCCTAAGGAGGCCTGGGACGCCTTGAGAAGGGTCCACGCCTCGGGCACTAGGGCTCACACCAATTGGCTGAAAGCCGAGTTGTATTCGCCTAAAATGGAAGGCGGGACGGTGCGGGAACACGACAGCCACTTCCAGGGGCTCGGAGACAGGCTCCAGGGGACTTGGGAAAAGGTGCCAGACAACAATAAGGTCTGGATGTTGCTCTAAAGCCTCCCTGACACCTAAACGGTCTTCAGGAACGTCCAAGTTTGGCTTCTCTCATCGAGCTAGATCCAAATTTGAACGTCTCCTCCCTCGCCTCCGTCGTCTCCGCCATTTCTGTCCTTGCCATTCGTAACAAAACGGGGCAAGGCGCCCCCCCTGTGACGACGTGCCAGAGCCCCGCCCTTCAGCGCACGTTGGGCAGGGTACTGCCACGTGTGGTAGTTGATTGGCATCAGCTTTTGGTTACTGTTACGTCTGAGTGAGCTGGGGGTGTGTTTAAGCATTGTAGTTGCTTTTTGTTCTTGGCTTGTCCCAGAGGGAGTATTCGTTGGCCTCAGAAGGCTTGATGCCGAGCACGTGGATCACGTTGAAGCGCACACTCAGGCTCTGGATCAGCTGTCTGAGCTCAGGCGCCCAGACGCTATGACCCTTCATATTTGCCGCATATTCACGAGGAAGCCCCTGTGCACGTGGTTGTCAAACTTCTTGCACCTTTCTGACAGGATAAGCGCATACACGTCTCATAAAAATATGCACAGTGCTCGACGTCGGGTTCCCTATGAGTGTACCACTCCTCTGGCCTCTTCTTCGAAGACCCAAGGGCTGCTGCCAAGCTGCGGTCGCCGATGTGGGTCGCAGGTGAGATTGCCCTCCCAGAAAAGCTTCTCCATATCCGCTGACCTCAGCATCGCGTGTGCCACCTTCAAGAGCATTGTCATAGACTAAAACAATCAGGTACATGGATCCTCAAGGGTAAGGGACTTCCATTGGCCCAGCGATGTCAACATGGATGTTGAAGAGTAGCTCGGTTTTACCTGCTCCCTCTGTCGTCCACTCCTGGGGGATGTCCGTTTTACAATGCTTCACCATCATGCACCACTCCCAGAGCCGAGATTCCCCCCAGAGCTCATTTGCGTCATGCCCCTCCAAAATCGCCTTCCACGCCAGCTTCTTGAGCTTGTCGACAATAAGGCAGCTGTATCGTCTGTGCCACAGCTCGAATATTGGTGAAGGGCTCCTTCCCACCGCCATAGCGCTCTCCGCTCAATTGTGGGTATCAATGACGGACAGGCCTCCTTGAAGTGTTGCGTTGACCCAGCACTTACCCTGCTTATCTGTAAATCTGCAGGAGTAGTTGGCAAACAGAGCCAGACTGCCCTTCACGTGATGGAGCAGACGGTAAGGAGGTTCACGCTCAGTCCGGGGACTAGTGCCGTCCGTTGGGCGTCAGGACTTCGGTCCAGGCAGAGCCCAAGCTTGTGGCTTGCAGCTTTATGCCTCGCTGGTTATGAGCTCGCAGGGGCTTTCAAAGGGTTTGTTGTCCTGAGGGCGGGATGCATCATGAGTCATGTTCTCCGATGCCCCTGATTCCAGGGCCCATTTTGGGTCCATGACTCGTGAGGGTCCCACGACGGGCAAGAGATCTGTCTGTGCCCTCTGCCTTGACACCGAAAAGGGTGTTGTTGTCATTGTCTTCTGCGGGTTTCCCGCCTTCCCTTATGTGCTTTCTGCGGCCCCTCTATCCTCCTTGCCCACACGAGAAGTTCCTGCCTCCATTCTTTGTTCGTCCGATATCTTCTCCGCCACCAGGCTGCTGTCAATTCACCGAGGCTGTAGAGCAAGACCCAAAGCTTGTCATTGTCATCTGGCACGCTCTTCCTGGCCCCTGAAGCTTGTCTGGGAGCTCTTGGATGCGGCTGACGTGCTCCTGTACTGTCCTGCCTTCCATTCTAAGAGAATACAACCCGGCCTTCACCTGGTTGGTGTGCGCCCTCGTGCGCGAGGCGTGGAACCTTCCACAGGTGGATTATTTACGTCACTTAGGCCATTTCTTTAATTGAACAAGATATGGCCCAAATGACAGAATCAATGGCAATAACCATAGATTCATCAATCAATAAATGGCCCAAATGGAGGTTGGACCCTTCGGACCTATCGATTGGCCCTCAGGTTTGACGAAATGATTCAATTGCAGGATGTGCGATTGGAGGAGGAGCCTGATTGATTAAATGGGCCATTTCAAATCTCAATTGAATTCCACTGAATGCTAATCGTAATGAATCGGACAAATGGCGAAAATATAAATTGGCAGGGGTGTACTTTTGGGTCACTAAATTGAAAAAAGTTATATAATTCTGGGGTGAAGATCATTATCGATTTATCCTGTGAAGTCCGAAGTCAGTTTCATTGGTTAAAGGGTCACTTGGTCGTGTTGTTCATCATGAAGAGTGGTCAACTCATGTTGCATCAGACATGAGTTGGGTGCCATTGGTTGTCAGGTTTCTCTTCTGATGGGCTTATGAGTCCATGGCTTCGCACCTGGGTTGTGTGGGATGGCTGTTTAATTGGTCTCTTGGTGGGTGGCTTGAGGTTCAGGGCTAGTTGGGTGTCCGGTTGATTCCTTTATATAAATTACTGCTGCACGTGCGTCATAAACAAAATGGTTCACATGCACACTGGGAGGGGTCTCCGACTACGGTACGCTCGCCGAGGACGTACATGGTTCAATTCAGATTCACTTTAAGTCAGGCTCAGTTTTGCTTGAAGGTCTTCATCCTTCGATGCAGTTCTAGTAGGGGCGCTTGATTCAACTGGGAGTCGGCTTGACTTGGGTTGATAGTTTGAGGAAACCGGCACTGGCTGTCTCAAGTAGGTCATTTCAGATCAAATGATGAGGGGCCACCTGTGGTCGTGGTGACTGAAACACTTCCCAGCCATAATCAGGTGAGTGGTGAGCCAGCTGTGGCTATCTCAGGCGGTCACCTACTGCTTGATCTAGATGGTCGCCTGTTGTGGCAGACTCAACGACTTTAATGCACCAGACTCTCAGCTCATGACTGGTAAGCAGGGGGTGGTTACATTACAGAGGCATGCTAGGGACACCCATGCTCCCCTAGAGGGGCCCCCAAGGGCTCAGTATCCCGTGCTAAAACCTCCTAGGCTTCACTTGCCATTGATTCCAAATGGAGCAAGCAGCTGTGGCTGTCCCATCTATTATTCCTGGCTCCACCGCTCCCTCTCGACTCAACATGCACAAGGTCTGTTCAGTTCCTTCCCTCTGGCACGCCACAGAGCCGGTGTTGGCCTGCAAGTTGCAAACCTTATACGCTACAGGCCCCTCATCTCCCCGAAGAATGCTCGTAATCCTTCGGGCGACTGCGTTTGACCTACCGATTGGCCTACATTCCAACCTAGGACCTTCTGATTACCAGTATGGATGCTCTTCCAGTGAGCTACCAGTCCGTCTGCTTTGTCTGCTTACGTTTTATGCTCCCCCTGTTGAAATTTGGAAGCACCTCGATGAGAGAAATCGAACGCGCTTTAGATCATCGAATTTGGCTGAGCGTAGCAGGAGGGGCGAGAGGAAAGCTGTGGGTCTGCCTGGTAGGCGCGTCAGATTTGCTGATCGATTTCAGAGTTGGAAATTGGTCAGATCGGATCAGATCGGGTGAAATCGGATCGGAAATTATTCCGGACGCGTTGTGCTTTGTAGGTACATAGTGGCGGGCACGGTCCAGGGTTGGACTACAGCGTCTTTGTGCTGAAGTCCACCGTCCCAGGTATTTGGAAGGAGCATCTGTGTAGACCCCATGAAGGAGGGAGAAGGAGCTGAACAAT